AATTCGACATGGCCATGTCGAATTTAGCGCTACTCCCCTCGTCGGGGAGGAGTACAGAAGTCGAATTAAAGAGACCTCTATGTCGAACTAAATAGCATCGCAGTGTGGACGGGTGCAGGGTTAATTCGATTTAACGGCGCTAACTTCGACATAAACGCCTAGTGTAGACCAGGCCTTAGACTTCTTTGTTCAGCGTATGATATTTTTGGATGAGATATATTGATATTAATTTACAACCAGTTTCACCTTACTGTATTTCACAGTTTACTGCAGCTATTCTATCAGTTAGTACTTAATTAAAGATAGAATAAGTACTAGCTGCAGTAAACTGAAATACAGTAGGGTGAAACTGATTGTAAATTAATTTCCTATTTTGCAAAGCTAGATACACTGAATGATTGTTCTTTTTTTTTTTTACCCTCCCTCGCAGACTGACGATAAAGGTGTCTTTGCAACGGATCTGTCTCAGGAGTACCAGATGGTTGCTAAAACATTTAATCTGAAGCCGTCACAGATGTGGGACCTCTCCTATGAATCAATCAACTATATCTTTGCTTCAGACAGTGTAAAATTGAAGCTAAAGGAACAATGGAATAAACTGAAACCAAGTCTGCTAAGTAATTAAACTATAGTTATAAATAGATGAAAACAGAATATACTAGCTCAGTTAATAAGGATGATCCGCCTAAGAGATTCTTTCTTTGGCCTTTTAAATTTTGATACAACCATAGGGCCCAGTCCTGCAGCCTCTGCTTATATGAATTAAGGGTTACAGGAACAGACCCTTATTTAACCAGGATGAGAGAGAAGTTCCTTTCCACACTTTGTCTGGAAACAGTCTGTCAGTGAGTAAAATTCCAGATTTTTCATGTACTAAATACCGTATTCACTGTAGGGAAACTAGTTTTTTTAATTACCGTATATACTCGTTCATAAGCATCAGAGAAGGGGGTCGGTTTATGAACGGGTATATAGAGGGAGAAGTGGGACACAGTCCCTCCCCCAACAGAGGGAGCCAGGAGAGGCAGCAGAGCCAGAAGGGAAGAGGCGGGGCCAGAGTCTCTCTGCTTCTGGCCACGCTGTTCTCCCCCCAGCCTCCAAAGCAGCTGCAGCTCTGGGGCTGGCAGGTTCCGGCGGCGCCGCCGCCCGGCCCCGCCTGCTGGAGCACACTGCAGCTGTGCCGCCTGGCCCTGCCCGCTGAAGCAGGCATGTGGCCATGCTGCCTGGCCCGGCCTGCTGAAGCAAGCTGTGGCCGTGCCGCCCAGCCCAGCCTGCCGGAGCAGCTCCGGCCAGGCCAGAGACATTCTCACCTGGCCCTCCCCAGATAAGATGGGAAGGGAAAGGATGGGATGGGGTGAGTGTGGGGGTCCCGGGCTGGGGTGGGGTCATGTGGGGGGTGGTCACAGGAGTTACTCCCCTGACACCCAGCTTCTCAACCCCCACACCCCCAAAATTTCCCCACCAGTTGCTGTCCCGGCCCGTCACGGTAATCTGCTGGTGTGCTGGGACGTTTTGTTTACTTAGGTTTACCTCCGTACCTGCGGACGCTTGAGGTAAACAAACCGTCTGAGCCTGCCAGCGGCTTATCCTGATGGCCTGGGAGCCAAAGTTTGCCGACCCCGGAATTATAGGGTCAGCTTATGAATGGGTCATAAAAAATTTCCATTTTTACTTATCCATGTTGGGGGGTTGGCTTTTAAACGAACTGGCTTATGATCGAGTATATACGGTACTTTTTGCTCAAATGTGTTAAAATATTACAAATATTGGAACCATCGTAGCAAAATAACGTTGAGTAGGAAACGACCGTAATACACGCATAGCAACAATGTACTAAGCAGTATGTATATGCTTTTCTATATCAATCTTAAGAAGGCTGATGAGCAGAAAGATATGGACAATTTCAGGGAGAAAAAATACTTGTCAATAAGATCTTCACACTCAGTTAAGAGACATATTAGAACTGTTTCTGCTGATATAGATGTCTGACCAAAGCTTTCTGTGGGTAGTTTTAATGAATATGCTGAGACAATCAAACTGAACTACACTATCAACACACTCAGAAGTAAGTGTGTTACGGTGTCCCCGTGTTACACTGGCAAGCAGAAAAAAATTCTAAAACCAAAATCAACAACTGTGACATTTATGGGGTTTTGTTTTTAAAATGCTTTATTACAATTTAAAGTTTATTTCTTTCCATTTGTTTTTTTAAAAACAAAAAATAGCTTTTTTGATGTGGTGTGTTTCTAAAACCACTACTTTTGTTTTTGCTCAGGGTTTGTAGATTGGAGGCATGTAAATTCTGCAGCAAATTATGTAATGTTGTATCATTGATAAGGGATGCTTTCCTTCTACTAAGCGATACCATGTCTGTTTTGACACCACAGGGAGCTCTTTAGTTTGGGAAATGAGATGTGGTTTTTGTCAGTGGTATTAATTTATGCATTGATAGATCTGTCACTCTTTGCAGAAGAATCACTGACGACACAATCTTGCTATATGTGGCCCCTCTATCCCTTAAGAGACTGTGTTTTTTGAGTAGTTTAAGTAATTGTACTAGGAATTGGGATTTAACTTCATAGATTAGGAAAGAGATTCCACCGTGTAGAACTGGTCCTATTACTTCAGGAAATCCCTTTGCTATCTGAGTTTCAGGAGACCAGACTATTAATGGACTATAACAGACTGCATTTTTTGCAGTGTTAATTAAAGTAGACGGTACTGAATGTTTTGAAGATATAAAGGCAATCTATTTGAATGAGTCACTGGCTATGCTGTTTCAAGTTTTTGTTGGCTCATGAGAACTGTCATGGGTAATGATTTTTTTGTATCTTGTAACAAGGATACTAATATGAGTTATGTGTTGCCGCTGTCAACAGTCATTGTCACTTCTACAATGCCTGATCCTCCCAGGTACTCAGATGATTGGGCCCTTAAAAATCTTTTTAGGGGGGGGAGATCTTGCAACAGTCATGGGGATGGCTAATACAGTGCCTCCAAATATTGGTGATAAGCTCAAACTCCACAAGCCTAGTGATAGGATCCCAGTCCTTGGTCTCTAGATGTCAGGGCAACTTGCTGTTGTGGCTGAGCCAATTGGAAAAAGGTTTATGATGATAAAAACTGGAGATAGAGTTAGAATGTTTATGTGACAGGATGAGCTATCTCAGCTATGTCATTTAGAATAAAGCCTCTGGCTTTCACTAAATGATGAGTGACCCAGTAGAGGGATAGTTCTTTTCTGCTGAGAATACACCTCTCATGTGCTAAGAAGTCAGTTCAGACAATCAGTTATGTGACCTCCTAGCAGCAGTTGGACATAGGAAACAACCACAGCTTTGCGATGTCTGCTCTGTATACTATAGGAGGAGCTGTCCTGGCTGAGCTCTCCAGTTCTTTTCTGTGTCCCAGCAGGAGGAGATCACTCTCTGACTTCTGAACTAGGGATTTAGTTGTTTGTTGTGATCCACTTTCAGGTAGCTGCTGCTTATATGTATGTGGGGAAGAGCAAGACCTATCTGCATTCTGCTCCCACATCCCCCAGTCCTGAGGCCAAGGAAAGAGCGCTGTAGGGTGAGGAGCTGTAGTTCATGTGTTTTTAGTAAATATTCCCCTGGCACCCTATCAGCCATCCATGATTGGAATCAGTTGTGCCCCAGCCATAAAGTACAAGTAATCTGTGTAAATTGCTGTGTGGGGGTTCTGTGCCCACTGGCAAGCCAGCCAGAATAGGACTTTAGAGTAGAACCTCAGAGTTACGAACATCAGAGTTACGAACTTGACCAATCAACCACACATCTGATTTGGAACCAGAAATACACAATCAGGCAGTAGCAGAGACCAACATCTTCCCCCCCTCCCCTCCAAAAGAAAAGCAAGCACAGTACTGTGTTAAATGTAAACTACAAAAAAAAAAAGGAAAGCAGCATTTTTCTTCTGAATAGTAAAGTTTCAAAGCTATATGAAGTCAATGTTCAGTTGTAAACTTTTGAAAGACCCACCATAATGTTTTGATCAGAGTTATGAACATTTCAGAGTAATGAACAACCTCCATTCCTAAGGTTTCATAACTCTGAGATTCTACTGTATATTAAAACTGCTGTTGGGAGATGGGGTGCTCTGGAGAAAAGAGCAAAGGGTCAGAAGCTGCGAAGTCCTGAGGATAAACCTCATCTCTGCTGTTGATTGGCTGTATGGCCTTAGGCGAGTAACTTCATTTCACTGCCCTAGTTTCCAGGCTGTAAAATGGAGATAAATGCTATCTGTCTCATGGAGGTTGTTAGGATCTGTTTGTTTGTTTGTTCAGCATTCTGAACATGTAAAGTGGTCTGTAAACGTTAAGTTTTGTGCTTATCAATGCACACTTGTGTCCATGCAAAATGCAGTGTGGGTCAGAAGCTAGCTTTCCATTTTCTATGTAGCAAATTCTTTCCAACCCTTTTGAAGTGGGTAGGATTCCAGGGGACTTCCCAAGCAGTATTCGATTTATTTTTCTTTCCACCTCCCATTCCTCTTTGTGCAGAGTGGCTTACCAGTCTATGGCAAACTCTTTGTATAATCTCTCCTTTAGCTGGATCCCCCTAACTGGCTTTTAAAAGACAAATTAGCTTTGTTTTCAAGTTAAAAAAAAATCATTAGTCCAATTGTTTGTTTTGCTTTTTCCACTGAAAATAAATAAAGTAGACTTGAATAAAAATCTGTATGCCTTTTGTTTTAAAGCAAAACCGAGGTAATCATGCATGAATTGTCAAGTTGGTTTTAGTTAGTGTTTAAGGCCCTGATCCTACAACTTGTTCAACATGGGTTGATGCTTGCATCCCCATGGATCGCCATGTAGATGCAGGGGTCTGACCGTGCGAAATGAGTTGCAGGATCAGGGCCTTAGTGTGTTACAGTTATACACAGACTCCTGTAATAATGAATAGTTCCTGCCATGAGGATGTGTGAATATTTGTGATTGTGTACCTCATCCATATCTAGATCCAAACCATTTATACTACATTTGGGAACATGGGCTCTACAAGTACATGAAATTCATATCCAGTGTAGGTTGACATTAAATATGGATGATGGACTTTCCGCATGCATCTGTTTTGTATTGAAAAAAACCACACCATTAAAGTACGGTAGTAAGGAAAGAGATGGATTTCACTACAGTATGACTCTGTCGATCTTTATTGCTATTCATTCATGGCTCTGTCCTCTTCCCACTGAAGTCAGTAACAAAACTCTCATTGATTTTAATGGTGAAAAGCGCTGTGGTGATATCCTGGGACCCTGCATGCTCAAAGAGAATCTTCTTGGAAGCACATGCCTTGTTTTGAAAATGGGTTAATAAAATCTCCTTGCTTATCATGAATGCTACTGCAATATTATGATCTTGTCTAAAGGCACTCATTTTTAATACTCTAAATAGTTTAAGTGCATTAGGTTCTTTTTCAGGGAAAGCATCATATTTTTTGCCATATCATCTTCCATCCTCCCTTGTACTTGGCCATTTCCGGTATTACAAATAGTACTGGTATTCACTGTTATTATTTATACATAATAAATGTGTAATGGTTGTATTGCAACTTTTAAAATGTAAAAGATGTGCATATTCTTAGTGCACTAGGGGTAGAGGCTGAATCCTGAGATCCTTGATTTCAACGGGAGTGTTGCTGGAATGAGTACATTTTAAGCAAGAACCTCAGGATTTGGTGCCCCAGTTTAGAAATACTCAGATTCCCTGGATCTACATTTTAAAAATAATCCTTTTATCTTAGTCTCAACATACATACCAATCAATCTTTAAAAAAAGTTAAGGATTTAAGCCTGGGTCTAATAAAATTTGAACTCCCAATTGCTGTGCCACTATAACTACTCTAGTATCTTGCTCCACTTGGCAGTATAGAAGTCTTGTTCCTCCACTAGATATTTACGTGGAATGACAGGAAGTTCCATGCATACGTGTGTAATGTAAGGAGAGGGCTTGAATGTCTATACAGACTGTGACACCAGTAGCAGGGCTTTTTTATGGCCATCCACTGCACATGCAAGATGCTGTGCTAGCAGGAGATATAGCTGTTTCACCCATTCTGTCATGCATATGAACTGTCATGTCTTTAAGAGCATGATGAATAAATAGGTGCAGTTTGACTAGTATCCTGATTGTTCAGTCATCCAAAGTGATTACACTGTAACAAGCAGCATTTGGACCTCAGTTCTGAATACAGCTAGGCAAATACAGCTAAGTGGAATAACACAAGGAATCCAACTGAACCAGTGAAGAACCCTTTCATGGATATGCGGGATATGCAAGTCAGTGATATCATTAAAGTGGAGTATTCTGTATACAGTTTGGTCAGCACTTTAGGATGAAAGGAGCTATATAAAATGTAAGATACTTTGGCTCACATTAAAAATTATAACAATTCCCCAACAGGCATGGAAGGGAGACTGCAGATGTAGGACAGTTGTGTCACACCAGTCTAATTACTCTCCGCTTTTAAAAGGTACTGTAAGAAGTAAAAATCAACACTCCTCATTGATTGAATGTTTTTCATGGCAGATGAAGGAAAGAAGCTACAGTAGACAAAACCTAGCAAGGCACCCTGGATTTGTACTGGCTGGTTAGTGAAACAGGAGGG